TTATGACCATATTTCCCACACAAAAAGCATGTGCCATCTTCGAATTTTCGCTTACGCTGACTTGTTTCGAGGGTAGATTTAAAAGAACGATCATTATTAGAAGGGTTGGTATACTTTTTTGAGTTTAAGTTCGATTTAACGTAGATGGAGAGGTATTCTACTAATTCGTTAGGCATTAGCTTTGCATTTGTGGCAGCGGCGCGGATTTGAGGATCCATTACGCCTCGAATCACAATTGCAGAAATGAGTTCATCACTTAAGCCCTTGACTATACGGAGTCTCAATAAAGAGCGACGGGCATAATCGGCATATGTTGGGTACCTATCAGAGTTTGTGCTCATAACCTCGTATAGGATATTCGCTACATCTGGCTTCCTAGGACATAAGGGCTTGAATTCCCTTATAAAGTTGCTCCATGTGCGGTCACTAGTGACCCACTCATTGAGCCACGTCTTCGAATCTCCTTTGAGGCAATTCCCAATGCGGGACAAGCATTCATTATCAGTCCAATTATTTGAAACCTTCGCGCGGTCTACCTCCTCGCACCAAGTGTCTATATCATTGACACTAGGATCGAAATTAGAAATAAAATAAGCTTGGTTGGATCTTACCGTAGTGTTGATGGATCGTATGGCGTCAATCAAACGATCGGTCACGGTAGCATCGCGATCGGCGGCTGCACTCACGGAACGTCCAGGTGAAGACGGAGCTGCCGAGTCACGAAAACCTGCTCCATCTCGTGCCGTAGTCGCAGTCTCTTCCACGAGCTGCTGCTGCTGGTTGGACGGTTGTCGCAGCGATGCTGCACGTGACACACGCCGGTCTTCCTCAAGCGATGTCAATCGATCTAAAATTTGTTGCATTTGTTGAGTTAATAGACTGTTAGAAGCAATATCAGGTTGCCTAGGAATTCTATTCCCTTGCAAATCAAGTCGACTATTGTGCGATTCACGACCCCTAGAACGTGAGATGCGACCCCGAGAGCGAGATTCACGGCTCCTAGAGCGCACATCACGACGATGATGACGCGATTCTCGACTCACTGAACGGCCTCTTCTTCTATGGCTATTAGGCATCTTGTTTCTTTCTAACTTGTTTCAAATCAAATAAAAGGAATCGGTAGAAAATTTAAATAAATCAAAGCAATTGTATGAATAGCAACAAATCAAAACATATGATTGTAAAATTCTACAACTATACGTAAACAAAAGAATTTGCTTTCTAAATATCAAGAAAAACTGGAACGTACTCACCAAAACCACTAATACACACTTACACTTGAACCTTATTAATTACGCGGACGTTACAAATGCTTAACAGTTAATTTAAATGTTGAAATGTACCCACTTAAGAAAAAGAAAAAAAAATACGTTACGAAGTTTTAAACTGTCTTGATTCAAGGCGAACAAAACGAAATGGAACGCGAGGCGTATCCCACTTCTGATTTTGGCAACTTCAGGAAGAAAATATTAAAAAAAATACAAATCACAATCTTATTTATTAATAACACAATTACAATAAACAACAATTTAAATTTTAATTAAATAACGAATTTTGAAATTACAAACATAGATCAATCTAAACTAAAGACACGCAAAATTAATAGCAGACAAGACAGTTTAACCCTTCAAACGAGCAGAGGTTCCCTTGTACCATGTGTACTCAACGCAGAAAGAGGACTCCACTGAGCGCGCAGGCCCTTTTATAGGCAACCGTAGCTTCTCCCACCAACATCCCCTCCGATGACAGCCAAGACGTCACTCTTCCGCCAATAATATATAAATATTTAATTTACTGAGGTCGTCATTATCGAAATCGCTAAGGACTCTGATATTATTTTTAATTCATGCCATTTTCTGGTTATCTGCTGATTTTCGAAATTCTTCTACCACCATAAGAACTTAACATACTCGATAAATCCTGCCACAGCTGATATCCCTTTAACTGACCTTTGAACAGTCGTCTAGGGTTTCGACATATCGCCGCGCTCATAAAATAAACAAACTGCCTAAGTGGTATATTCCTTTGTTGATTGTGCAGATTGACCACGACATTGTTGATATTAAGTATAATCTGAGTGAAGATATTGAAATATTGATACGATTTTACGAATGAACTTTCCATAAAATCTAAAATAATTAAGAATTGCTCTAGACTAGCTCGAAACCTCGGTTCCATGTAAAAATAATATTATTCCTAGTAACCATTTCAACACAATATTAAATACACTAACATGACGCCGATATATAATACATAACTAAAATAATTTAATTTAGATTATCACACCATACTTATTTACAGTACTCACCGTCTTAAAATCGCTATCCCATGTATAATTTCACTTAAAAAATTCATGAATTCATCACTTCACAACTTAAAAATATTCTAGTTTTGCGGCGACCCATTGTCAAACTGACATTAGCGTACGACAAACCATAAAGAACAATTGATGTTTTTTGTAACATACGAATAGAATGAGCGTCCGACAAGTGGTTGTACACTTGGCTACCAATCGAAAAACGCTAACGCCCAAGCGTTCATTTTCAGTAGAATAGAAACGACTCCGAGCGTTTGCCACTTGTCTAGGCCCTCTGATGAAGTCGGAAACGTTCGTTTCCAACCAAGACTGCGTGGACCGAGCTTTATGACCCGGCGCCGAATCTTGCTGGAGGGACCATTGTTGGTTATTGAACATGGTGTTGTTAAGGGGCTTAACTACCTTCTCAAGAATGGTATTTTGATACACTTGTGCCGATGTTTTGATACCTTTTTCGCAAAAGTATGGCTCAGTCACTCCTTCATAGCTAACACCCCACCAAACCATCACTGAAGTCGGATAATGCCCACGTTGCACTCTGTCGACTAATTGAGAAGCTTCCTTAGAGCTTTGAGCATAAATACGGTCATTTTGTTTGTTAAAATGTTGCTCAATTGTAAAAAAAATCTCATCCGTAAACAATTTTTTTCTGTGACCTCCCTTTGCGTATCGCTTCTGTAGTTGTTTAGATTTTATCACCCTATTCTTTTTTAAATTATCATTTAAAAAATGTCTAGTGCGTCTCTTATAGGCTGCAAGTCCTAAGTCGTCTTTTAAAATACGCGACATGGTTCTAGGTGCTATCTTCATCTCCCGAGATAAAATCTTTTGCTTTCGGACAGGATTTCTTCGAATTCTTTCCCTTACTGCTTTGACCACCTTTTTCGTACGAACACTACGTGGACGGCCAGATCTTTTTCTGTCACAAACAGAGGTCTCATTGTACCTATTAATAGCCCGGTACACAAACATTTGACTAATGCCAAGCGTGTGGAGAGTTTAAAAAATTGCATTTGGCTCCATACCCACTTTGTGTAATGCAATCAAAGCGATTCGGTTCTTTTTATCACCCCACTCCATTTTAATATCGCAAAATATTGAACAATTTATTGGCGCCAAAATAAGAAAACACAATGAAATATTATATAAAAATGACAGATTCCAAATTCAAATGTAATATTTTGTTTATTTTTAATTGTAACAGTATTTATGGCCAGACTATGTTTATCCATCACCCTACGATCTATAGGAGCCGAGCAGTGGACCCGATTCTGGTGCTCAATTAAAACAACTTTTTCGATGAGACAAAAAAAAAAATAATCTTCTCCATGCAAGTGATCAATCAGCTTTTGCGATTTATATGGAGAAATAAATTTATTTTTGAGATTTCGATATTGGTCCCATAGAAAAAGTTGTTGTAATTAAGCACTAAAATCGGCTCCTTCAATATATCCCTCGTTGAACCACACACACTGTATTATAAAGACGAAAGATTATTTTGTTTGTAATGAATAACCTCCAAAACTGCTGAATTTGAAAAGAACTTTAAATGTTGAGAGTTTCACTGTCAACTATAGGTTATAATACGCAGGTGAAACCGCGCGTCACAGCCAGTATCTAACTTTTATAATTAAAAAAACCATTTGTAATCTTTTCTAAAAAGGTAAAGCCACTTTTTAATCTTCGTTGGAATCCCCAAATTTTAATTTTAAAGAATCTTTACCAAATTCACCTTTATTGTATGAGAGTTAATTAATTATACAAAATTTTAACTAGGTATCTAGTTAGGTATAACGTTTCATAAGAAACAGACAGACATACGCGAACGGACGGCCGGAATCTCAGAAATAGCAATCCCATTTTTATCCTTTGGATAATGAAATTTAAAGTAAAATACGTCTGATTTCAAAAAGCGCTTTTGAATCTGTGATGTTTTTTGCAATATGGCAACACAGTAGCCACTATTATTACAGATAAAGCTTGTCAATATATTAACCTCAGACTTTACTTGTGAACAGTATAACAGCTTAACAGCAGTAAGCCTTATAGATTATTTATGAGTGCCTACGTAGTAGATAATTCCTCCCGCTCTGGGTTGAGGAGAACAGGGAATGTCTGACTTTTATGCCTCATTTACGTTTAAGCTGTAGGTAGTAAACAGAGAAGTAGACTGGACGAGTATGTAAACTTATACCTACTACTCATGCCACTGCAAAAGCCACTCGCGCTGCCCATCGCTCCCCAAAAGAGGGGTTTAAGTACCTGTTTTGGGGAGCGTGCGATTTCGAAACACCGGCAGCTAGAGCGTCAGGATGTGTATACATTCTGAAAGATAGCGCGGACACGGAATTTGAACGTGAATGAGAAAGACATACCCAATGACATTATAAGTAAAATGGTATAGATAGGTTACATTAACAACATTCGATTTTCAAAAACGGCACTCTGATGAACAAGTCGTATGATTTGACGTCAAAGTGAGATGGCATGATTCAATAATCGCGAGTGAAAAAGAGACAAATATGAAAAAGTGTGGCTAGTTAGACACATTTTAATGTATCACTTGCTGAGCGCTTGTAACCTATCTACACCTTTTTACTTATAATATCATTGGGCATACCAAAATTTAAACAGATAGATCATAGTCCTGTAATTTTTCAGCCGGGTTTGCGGGGTAATCGCAATGAGGCACCGCGACCTCGGCCCAGAGCAGGAGAAGGAACGGGGGGGTTTTAGTCAGTAAGAGTCTGACACTCCCTCCCGCCCGGCCCTGGGCGGGAGAAGTCATTAGATGATTTTCCCCTGACAAAAAAAAGTCCTGAAATTTACTGAATTAGCGATACTTCAGCAAAGTTTCTCATTTCAGAACCAGAATCGGATGAACAAAGTCTCCTAGATTGGCGTGATCCCTTCACAACGAAGGTCCAATTGGCAAACCCTACTGATGAAGAGGATCCTGACTTCAAAGGTCATAACATCACCATGGTCTAAAAACTGTGTTGAAACATTCAAAAATGATGTTTTTTTAAGGTTATTATACTTGCACGGATATATATTCTAAATCGATTCGTTAGATTGTAACCTGGTTAGCTGAAGTTCAAATAATCAGTTTTAGATAATATTTGGACATACTGTTTTGTATTGAAAATAATACTCTATTTTCTAAGGAAATTATTTCAATGAAATTGTAAGTAAACATTGATAAATAATACGTGTTTTATTTCACCTAGTTTCTATGCGTTCGTATCAACTAAACGACACGACACGACACGACACGACACGACACGACACGACACGACACGACACGACACGACACACACACGACACGACACGACACGACGACACGACACGACACGACACGACACAAGTCAAAAGTCAAAAGTCAAAAGTCAAGAGTCAAGAGTCAAGAGTCAAGAGTCAAGAGTCAAGAGTCAAGAGTCAAGAGTCAAGAGTCAAGAGTCAAGAGTCAAGAGAGTCAAGAGTCAAGAGTCAAGAGTCAAAGAGTCAAAGAGTCAAAGAGTCAAAGAGTCAAAGAGTCAAAGAGTCAAAGAGTCAAAGAGTCAAAGAGTCAAAGAGTCAAAGAGTCAAAGAGTCAAAGAGTCAGTCAAAGAGTCAAAGAGTCAAAGAGTCAAAGAGTCAAAGAGTCAAAGAGTCAAAGAGTCAAAGAGTCAAAGAGTCAAAGAAAAACCCCCCCCCCCGTCGTCTTATTCGATTTGGTGAGGACGTGACCACACCCTCTTAGGCGCAGGCGCGTCAATGCGGGGTTCGTTTGTCTCCTCATTCATTGAGGAACAAAACCTTTCGGCGGGTCCGCTGAGTCGGGTTGGCCGGACAGCGGACGGAGGCATGTCTTAATGCCGCCGTCGGGGGGCTTGGCTTTACCGCCCGGCCCCAGAGGAAGGACACCTCTAAGATAAAAAACCACCCAATCCCAAGTTTTGGGAGCGCGGCGAGGGGATGAATGGCCGTTGGGTGTACGGTCGTTAGCGCTCCTACCTGCTGGTACCTGCCGCCCCCAGCAGTATTAAGGCTTACCCGGGTACTTAAGCCTCTGCCCGGGGTTGACATTTCTTTGCTTTATACTCGTGGGAACACTATGGAGAACCTACAAAATCAAATAAAAAATGACGAAGTGAGAGACAAAGTACCTCTGGTACTAGTTGAGCCAATGGGCGTGCTGTCGGACTCGGACAGTGCGTCTAGTCACATGAGTGTGGCGAGTGCCGTAAGCGTTAACTCGAAACGCTTACGTAAACGCCCGAGAGAGAGTGGTCGGAATCGGCCCTAAGCGACACAGCGGTGCCGGCCCCCAAGGTCGGTGCCAAAAAAGCAGGGAGAGGTAGGCCTGCTACTACCGGCAAATATGCTGGTATCGGCCTATCCAGGCGTGAGGCTGCGGCTGCAATGAAAGCCGCAGCAAGTGCTGACAAGCTGGAGGAGGACGAGCGGCAGATTGCGGCTCTAACAAAACGGGTGACGGAAGGGAGAGTCACTCGCCTGTCGGAATCGTCATCTGTCGTCTCGGATCTAGGAGTAGAGGCAGAAGAGCTCCCTGCTGTTGCAGCCATAAGACGGGTGAGCAAGGTCTCGAAGGGCCTTAGCGGCTGCAGCAAGAAAGCACTCAAAGAGGCCACGGCCTCCATCATGGAAAGTGCGCAGGTACTTCTGACTCGCACGACAGCCGAAGAGACGACCTTGCTGCGGGCCCAAAACAAAAAGCTCGCATCACAAATGGCGGAGCTCCGCAAGGAGCACGAGGAGCTTAAAAAGTGGAAAAAGGCGCGCCGACGGGCCAAAAAGCAGGCCCAGAAGGTACAAGTGGCTGCCAAGCGCCAGGCCGCGAGGCTCACCACACCTCGCTCTACTGCAGTGGTTCTCACCCTGCAGCCAGGGGCGGAGGAGCGCGGTCTCACATACGCCGGGATCCTGGCGAGGGCGAAAGCCGAGATCTCGTTGAGTGATCTCGGCATAACGGGCCTTCGTTGCAAGACAACTGCCACCGGCGGTCGCCTACTGGAGGTGTCGGGAGCTACCAGCGGTCCCAAAGCAGACGCCCTTGCTGATAGACTTAGGGCGTCTCTAGGCCCTGAAGACGTAAAAGTGTCCAGGCCGACTAAATGCGCAGACCTGCGTATATCGGGCCTGGACGATTCCGTCACACAGGAGGAGGTCGCCGCTGCCATCTCTAAGGCCGGAGGATGCCCGCCGGAGCAAGTCAAGGCGGGTACGATACGCCGGGGTGTCTCCGGTCTCGGGACGGTTCTGGTCAGCTGTCCCGTAGCGGCGGCTAAAAAGATGAAAGACAAGCGGCTTCTGGTTGGGTGGGTCTCGGCGCAGGTCGTGCTCCAAGAGCCCAAGCCCTATCGGTGCTACCGCTGCTTAGAAGGAAGACATGCGGGAGCACGGTGCACCGCGGGAGTAGACCGCAGCCAAGTGTGTTTCCGCTGCGGTCAGCCCGGTCACAAGGCTGGCACTTGCACTGCCCCGCCGCACTGCATTATCTGTGCGGCATCTGGCAAGCCAGCCAATCATCACACTGGGTCTAAGGCCTGCGCAAGGCCCAAGAAGAATGCCAGGAGACCGCTGGCTCATCCGCCAGCTAATATGGCACAGCAGGCAACCAGCTCCTCGCAGCCGGTTCACCTGCCAGCTGCGGCAGAATATCCGCCGAGGGCTGGGAAGGAGGCAACGGCAATGGAAACCCAATAATGGCCCTACGTCGTCTCCTTCAAGCCAACATAAACCACTGCGCCAGGGCTCAGGATCTCTTGCTTCAGAGCATGGCGCAGTGGTCGATCGATGTGGCAGTTGTATCCGAGCCGTATTTTGTGCCACCCAGGGATGACTGGGTGTGCGACACAAACCGCTCGGTAGCACTTATTTTGAGGTCTGCCGGCGACACCCTTCCCTTCGAGGCCGTCACCCGAGGGCGGGGCTATGTTGCGGCAGTTTGGGGAAATATTATGGTCGCGGGGGTGTATTTCCCCCCCAGCCTTTCTCTCGCCGACATGGAGGATTTGATATTGGAGTTGGGCACGATTGTCAGTCGTAGTCATCCTCGTCCCGTGATAGTCCTTGGGGACTTCAATGCCAAATCTACGGCTTGGGGTTCCCCGTGTACGAATGCGCGGGGCGAGTTAGTGGAGGAGTGGGCGGTCGAGCAGGGCCTACTTCTCCTAAACCAGGGTTCCGTGCAGACGTGCGTGCGGCAGCGAGGTGGGTCTATAGTGGACTTATCTTTCGCTAGCCCCGCTCTCGCACGCACTGTCCAGGACTGGCACGTGTTGGAGGAGGTAGAGACGCTGTCTGACCACCGATATATTCGATTCAGCGTCTCTGCTCAGACCTCGGTTGGGCCGATCCAAGCGACCCCGGTGGGCGTTGGAGACGGTCCGCGTTGGGCGTTAAAGCGGTTGGACAGGGAGGCTCTCTTGGAGGCCTCTATCGTCAAGGCCTGGTTGGACTCTCCAGACAGGCCAACCAACATCGACGAGGAGGCGGAGTGGTTCCGGGAGAGCATGTCGCACATCTGCGACGCTGGCATGCCCCGAGTCCGGCCGCTACCATCCAGGCGCCAAGTGTACTGGTGGTCGCACTCGATTGCGCAATTACGCACCACTTGTGTACGGGTGCGGCGCCAGTACGCAAGGTACCAAAGAAGACGCCGCAGCCCCTTTACAGCTGCGGCCGAACAGGAAGAGGCGGAACTATACAACCGCTATAGAGAGGCGAAAAGCGCCCTCCAGCTGGCCATTGTCCGGGCAAAGGCCCAGGCCAACGTAGAGCTGTTGAGGACTCTGGACCGAGATCCGTGGGGACGCCCCTACCTCATGGTACGGGGCAAATTGCGCCAATGGGGCCCCCCCATTATCCCGGAGTCTCCAGCCACAGCTGCTGGAGAAGGTGGTGTGTGCGTTGTTTCCGTCGAGACCGGAGCACACACCACCGGCTATGGTTCCGCCTCGTAGTTCGCCCAACGCGGAAGACGAGACTGACGAAAACGTGCCCGAAGTGACCCGGGTAGAGTTGAGAGTGGCGGTGGGTCGCATCAAGAACACCGCCCCAGGGCCCGACGGCATTCCAGGCCGTGCATGGGTCCTGGCTATGAAAGCTCTCTGGCCCCGACTAGCGGGGCTCTTAAGCGCATGTTTGGAGCGGGGCCAGTTCCCAAGCCGGTGGAAGACCGGAAAGCTGGTCCTGCTCAAAAAGGCGGGGCGCCCCGTAGACTCCCCGTCTGCGTACAGGCCGATCGTGTTGCTGGACGAGGTGTGTAAGATCTTCGAGCGAATCATCGCCGGCCGCCTCGTCCAGCACATGACCAGGGTGGGGCCGGATTTGGCGGACAACCAATATGGTTTTCGCCAGGGGCGCTCCACGGTGGACGCTATCATGCGCGTAAAGGTCCTGGCGGAGGAGGCAGTCGCCCGGGGTGTGGTGGTCTTGGCGGTGTCGCTCGACATCGCTAACGCTTTCAACACCTTACCCTGGAGTACCATCCGAGAGGCGCTCCGGTATCACGGGGTGCCGCGCTACCTCCAGCGCATTGTCGGGGCCTCTTTGTCGGACAGGTCGGTGGTGTACCCGGGTCGAGAAGGATGGGGTCGGCGAGAGACGTCGTGCGGCGTTCCGCAGGGTTCGGTGTTGGGGCCGCTCTTGTGGAACGTTGGCTACGACTGGGCTCTGCGCGGTGCGCTACTCCACGGCGTCGGCGTCATTTGTTACGCCGACGATACGCTAGTTACAGCGCGTGGGAAGTCGTACCGGCAGGCGGCCATACGCGCGACGGCTGGTGTCGCGCACGTCGTGGGTAGGATCCGGCGGCTGGGCTTAGAGGTGGCATTGCACAAATCGGAGGCCCTGTGTTTTCATGGGCCGAGGATGAGGCCGCCTCAAGGATCCAGCATTATAGTAGGAGGGGTTTCCATCGCTGTTGAGTCCACGATGAAGTACCTCGGACTCGTTCTCGGCAGTCGGTGGAATTTCGGGCCGCACTTTACACGGCTCGCCCCCCGGTTGATGGGCGCCGCTGCTGCGCTGTCGCGCTTGCTGCCCAACCAGGGGGGGCCCATCTCCTCCTGCCGGAGGCTCTACATGGGGGTCGTACGGTCGATGGCGTTATACGCTGCGCCAGTATGGGCGGACGCCCTGACGGCCCGCAACATCGCCGCGCTGCGAAGGCCACAGCGCGCGATGGCCGTCAGGATAATCAGGGGATACCGTACGATCTCCTTTGAGGCAGCGAGCCTCCTAACCGGATCCCCGCCCTGGGACCTCGACGCAAAAGTCCTCGCGTCGCTCTATTGGTGGCGCGCGGAGGCAGTCGAGCGGGGCGAGCGCCTGGTGCCTCGACAGGTTGAGGCACGCAGGGCTGAACTCCGCCAGACCTTAATGGCGGAGTGGCAGACGCGCTTAGCGCAACCCACGGCGGGGCACGCCGCTATAGAGGCGGTAAGGCCCGTTCTAGAGGAGTGGCTCAATAGGAGCCACGGCGCCCTCAGCTTCCGGCTGACGCAGGTGCTTACCGGACACGGGTGTTTCGGGAAGTACCTGTGTCGCATAGGTCGGGAGCCGACGTCTCAGTGCCACCATTGTGGTGATTGCCGCGACGATACGGCGCTGCATACGTTGGCGGAATGCCCAGCTTGGGCCGAGCAGCGCCGTGACCTGGTCACGGCCGTAGGTGCTTCGGGAAATCTCTCGCTTCCGGCTGTAGTGTCTATTATGGTCGGGAGCGAGTCAGGGTGGAGTACCGTCGTTACCTTCTGCGAGGCCGTGATGCTCGCAAAGGAGGCGGCGGAAAGGGAGAGAGAGGCTGCCTCCTCTCTCCCCTCCCGCAGCAGACGCACTAGACGTCGTAGGGTGGCCGACCTGCGGCCACCGTAGGGCGCGGCCTGTGGACGACAGATTCGGGGCATCTTGTCGTCCGACCAGCAGCAGGCCTCGAGGCGGCGGCGCCGTGTTCCGCGCGCGCCTCATAGTGGAGTCCTGCGGACGGGGCCCGCCTTACCATCTGGCGGGCCAATACCCGTCGGGGGGTTGCGACGAATGCTTCGGCGATACCCGCCCCTCCGACACATGGGTAAGTGGAGGAACACCGGGTTGGTTTTTAGTCAGTAAGAGTCTGACAGTACCCTTCGCCCTTCCCCGAGGGCGAGGGTCTCCATGAGGATTTTCCAACCCGACACAAAAAAAAAAAAAAAAAGAATTATTCAATGTGTAGTATGCTTTCCTACATAAAGTTTTCTTTACACATAATTTAAAATTTCTTTCATTTAATTGTTGTATTTCGCCTGGGATTTTGTTATAACATTTAACACAGAATCCCATGAACGACTTTCTTTAATCCACATTTATTTAAAGGGTTTTTTCTTAATAGAAAATGACACCCCGATTATTGAGTACAAAAAAACAAAAATAGACATTCATAAAAGACTTAGATTTAAGTTAACCTACCCGCAACCTAGTACCCGTAATAATAATATTAATAAGAATTCTGGCTTCATCCGACAATGGCGAAGCCAGAATGCTGTTATAGTAGCCTACATTACAATTTTTGACGTCAAAAGCGTGACGTCTTTGAGCCCCAATACGGCTGCACTCGGCAAGGATATGATACACGTCTTCTACCACCCCACAAACAGCACAATTGGGTGAGTCTACTTTACGCATCATAAAACCAAAGCTGTTAAGCGGCACATGACCGGATCGAAGCCTCAAAGCCATCACGACTTCTTGTCTACTCATGCTGCCCGCGTTGAACCAAAGCATACGAGGAAGTGAGGGCTGAATAGTTTTGTACCAGATGCCTTTGGCAAGAGACCTTTTGTCGAAATATTCTGACCAACTCTGAAAGCACTTGTCTCGAACAGAGGGTAAAAGTTCGGTGTGCCATGGTAAACAATTAAAAAAACACCCATCGGACGCAGCATCATTCGCCAAACGATCAACAGTCTCATTACCCTCCAGTCCAACGTGAGAAGGTATCCATTGAAGGACAAGAGTTTTATTACTAGCTACAATTCTGCCAATGGATTTCAAAATAGAGTACGCCAGTGGAAGCCCTCTGAAAGGTGTAGTGCATTTAATAAGATGGAGAAGAGCACTTTTTGAATCGGTAAATACAACAAAACGATCACCGTTTAAAGATTCTATATAAGCCAAAGCTTCTGCAATAGCTATCAATTCTAAATGCATAATTGATAATCTAGCCATAATTTTCAGTTGGACTGAACCACCTGTTTGTGGGTCATAGAAGGCTGCGCCGTAGTTGTTTTCATATCTTGAACCATCCGTGTAAATAGGGTAGAAGCCGTAATATGACAAATTAAGAGATTTGATACAAAGTGAAATAAGTTGATGGGTATTATAACAACGCTTTGGCTTATCAATAGAATTCAAAACCGGTTTAACGATATTTGATAAGTCCATATTGCTGACCCAAGTATCCATGGCAAACATGTGAACCGTCTTGCTACAGTAAATTAATTCTCCATTTAAAACATCGTGTGTCAAAACAAGAAGGGGTTTTTTCTTGTTTCTCCAATATGTGTTATTGCATAGATGATGAAGCTTGTTCAGTATGTTAAGTAGGGGATAGTTATAACACTTAGATTTTAAATAAAATTTACTAGCTAGATATTGGCGGCGAATAAATAGAGGGGGTAATGACAACTCGGACTCCATCACGTGTATCGGCGTACTTTTGATAAACCCGCCTATCAAACGTAGACAAATGTTTTGTAATCTATCTAATTTTGACAAGTGGGTATCAGCACTATTACCGAGTAAGAAGCTACCGAAGTCAATACGACTACGAATAAGGGATATGTACAGGCGTCTTAAGTGTTTTGGATGAACACCCCATCCGGGGCCCACTAGAACCTTAAAAATATTGACTAGCTTTAGGACTCGTTTACACACCTCATTAACGTGTTTTTTCCACCGGAGACCTCTGTCTAGCCATAAACCTAAATACTTAACATTGTCGACTAACTGTAATGATGTGCCATTTAATCGTATATCAACAGTAGGTGCACGGAAACCTCTTGTGAATAAACAAATTTTACTTTTACCCGGCGAAATATCTAATCCTACGTCTGTAAGCATTTTATTAATAATATTGAGGGCAGATTGGATTTTATGTTGTCCCTCGTTAACAGATGAACACTGTGTGTACATTGCAAAATCATCTGCGTACTGGCAGACAGAGACTTGATTTTGAAGGCGATTACAGATTTTTGCCGTTATTATGTTAAATAACAATGGAGATAGCGGATCTCCCTGTGCCAACCCACTACCCGAGTATCTACTCATGAAGGTATTGCCGGTTCTTATTTTTAATGTTCTTCTGTGCAAAAAATTCCATAAGTAGTTACAAATAAGTGAACCCACTCCATAATGGTCTAAAGCATCAATTAAAATATAGTTATTGACATTGTTGTACGCACTGTCTATATCTAAAAAACATCCCAACGTAACACAGCCCTCAGAGAAACCGGTTTGAATAGAAGTTATTAAGTGAGCCAGACCATCTAAACACGACTTATTTCTACGGAAACCTACCGTGTTATCAGAAAACACGTTTTGTTTCTCGATAAACCACTCCAGTCTTCTAAGTAAGATGTAATGAAATATTTTGCAAATGCAAGACAATAAAGAAATAGGGCGGAGGGAAGCTACATTACTTAGGTCACGACCAGGTTTTGGAATAGGCACAATAAAGATATCGCGCCACTGAGATGGAACAAACCCATTATAAAAGAATTTATTAAACAATGTAAGCAACACCGACTTACCTACATCAGGTAAATTTTTAATCATTGAATATGATATATCATCACATCCAGGAGATGTATCCTTAGGTTTAATACAATTATTTAATTCCTGGATAGAGATTTGACATTCTAATAGAGGGTTGCTATACCTAACTGTAGGGGGCATTGGGGACACGTAATCTGGTGTTAAAGAATATAGCAAATTTGTGGCATTTTGAGAATCTACATAAGGTGAAGGAGATCGGCAACCTTTTAACCATCTCATTTTGTGCCACATTTCACTAGCCGAAGACGTGTGATCAACTGAAGTACAGAAATTTTGCCATCCTGTCACCTTACCCTGACGGATTAGCTTCTGCGCAAAATGAATTCTGTCATTAAGAATATCCAGATTGTCGGGTGTGGGGTTGCGTCTAAATTTGGATAAAGCTAACCTACGCTGAGCTACGGCTTGTGAAATTTCTGCTGACCAGTATGGTTTGGGTGAAAAAACTGAAGTAGGGTTTTGGTTGAATTTTACAAACGGAATGAATTTGTTAGCGGCATCGTTTATATTAGGTCATCCGGTAATTGTAAATCACAAAACCGTTGTTCTAAGAATTTTTTATACGATAACCAATCAGCTTTACGAAAATTCCTTTTCATGACTGGAGGTAAATGAGAAAAAGTTGATGTTGAAATTTTAATAAGTAAATGATCACTACCCAGATTTTCGTTTAGAACAGTCCAATTAAAAGTATGGGCAATATCTATTGAAACTAGTGAGATATCAGGGGAAGACTGCTGCAGGTAATTATCTACTAAACGAACCCGCGTATGAGTCCCATCATTTAAGGCGAAAAAGTTGCTATCCAAGAGTGAGTCATGGATGAGTGTCCCTCTGAGGTCAGTTTTATATGACCAGCTGACATGATGGGCATTAAAATCGCCCAAGATTAGTGTTTTGGTGGACCATAATCCTAGCACATTACTCCAATCCTGGTAAGTGGTTACAATCCTAGAAGGGCAATAGATTGCAATAATATTTTCAAAAGGCTCACAATTAAAAACCTTAACACACACTATTTCAATTCCACTATTGTGGGTTTGAAAGAATTTCTGTTGTGCTTTTACGGATTTGTGTACTAAGATAGCTACTCCGCCGTAAGAGTCATCTCTGTCCGCACGATAAGCACAGTAACCATTTACCTTAAAATCACATTCCGGTTCGAGCCACGTCTCACTTAGGACAGCAATATGAATCTTTTCTTGACGTAGAATTTCACTAAATGAAACTAATTTAGGTTTGATACTTTGGGCATTCCACTGTAAAATATTTAACCTAAGTAATTTAGAAGCCATCAAGAATGGTTATTTATCAAACTAAACAATGATTTTATCCATGGCCAATCTGAAATAAAACTTACTGAAACTAACATGAACCATTCTAGGCATAACTGCAATATTGATCTAATTTTAGAAGAAAGATTAAGCTGTTTAAGATAAATCACTTCCTTGATTCTGACCCACAACTCCTTTAAGGAGGGACACTGTTCCTTTTGCAAGTCATCCTCTTCAGACGACATATCCTCAAGACCTTTCCCGCCTCCATCGGAATTCCAAAATGTCCAGTCCTCGTCGTTGGATTTCTTTTGACACTTAGGCTTAACCTCAGATTTTTGGGGACGGGAAGTGATTTTGACTGCTTTCTTTTCTTCATGAATTGTAGCTTTTGTCTTGACGGTGTCGGCATAAGTTGGTTGACTCGACAGATTGGGATATATATTTTGTATAGGTGAAGGCTCAGTACTGCGACGTCGTAGACGTAAAAGTTGATCATTTTCAGAAGGAAGGGGCATTTCAGGTGGAACATACATTTCTAAAGCTTTCCTATAAGTGCATCCAAACTCCGCCATGATCTCTCTCAGCTTCCTTTCTTTTTTGTACACAGGACAGGCCTTACTCAAGGATATGTGGTCTCCAGTACAATTGACGCAGGAAAACAATGTGGTATCGCAATTCTCATGATGACCGCCACACTTAGGACAAATTACATTTTTGGAGGGACACATTTTACGGGTATGGCCTAATTTCCAGCATTTCGAACATTGGGATACCTGATGAATATAGGGGAAAACCCTCACGTTGATATCGCATACGCGAACAGTGGCAGGGAGATGGCTACCGTCAAAACATAATCTAAGAGTTTCACTCGGGCACCAACCGCCTTCATCTCTATTTCTTCGATTAAGTCTTTGAAGTGAAATAAGTTTTGCTGGGGCCGGGCACGATATATTTTGAAGTATCTCATCATCAGCGAGGTCAA